TATATATTAAAATTTAACTTCGTTTGTTATTCATATTTTTCTACAAAAGACAAAAGTGTGCCAGAATATAACCGTTTCGAAAAATTTAAAAATATTCGATTGTATATTGAAAGTATCTGAGTGAGAATTAAATATCTAGACATACAGACAAAAGTCTTTGTACATTTTCCCACATGCAAAGGGTTAGGAATTCGCAACAAGATAAATACCGTAACCGATTCATAACCTTTTCAAATGAAATTTGTTGAATACTTTGTCAAATAAGATCAGCAAATACGTTTCCAATTCAATTCCATACACGTACGTGAGTACTATGAATGAGAATGAATGAGTATAACATAGATTTGATACATAACCAATATATATCCGTTTCAAATGTTACCGTTTTTGAGAATCCTAAAAATATTCAAATTTTCATTATATCTGCCTATTTATCAAAACGACACATAACCGTTTTAAAATGAATATATTTCAGTAAATAGAAAAGTATTTGAAGTGCCGCACATGAATATAAGTATATATAATTACTATATGAGCAATGCATGTACATTGTATTTTCTAACCGATATATAACCGTTTCGTATGTAACCGGGTCATTTGATTCTATAGCGCTTCTACTGTCATTTGGGAATTCAGGTTTCAAAAATGTGTTTCAATCATTAAGTGTTATTAGCTTTAACCGGTACATAACCGTTTCATATGTAACTGATTCATTTGATTCTATATTTGTGAATTCAGGTTTCAAAAATGTGTTTCAATCATTAAGTGTTATTAGCTTTAACCGGTACATAACCGTTCCATATGTAACCGATTCATTCGATTCTATATTTGTGAATTCAGGTTTCAAAAATGTGTTTCAATCATTAAATGTTATTAGCTTTAACCGGTACATAACCGTTTCATATGTAACCTATAGAGCTCTACTGTTGTCTGGGAATTTAGGTGTAACACATGTGCTTCATTCTTTAAATGATATTAGCCGTAACCGATACAAAACCGTTTCAAATTGAATAACCGTTACCGTGTCGCTGCCCAACGTCGATTTGCTGCACTCTTTCTCAACAACGATGCGAGCACATGACATTGACATATCAATTGAACCTGGACTCATGCCTACAAATATTATACAAGCACTCAATTGATTTGTATGAGTTTTGTTTTTTTTTTTTTATGCCAATAAATAGATACGAATTATATTTAATTTACAATTGTGTGTTTTTTGATTCATTTCGAAACTGTGCTCATATATAACACAATTATTGCTGGGCGTTTCGTGTGTCGAGCAAATTGTAATTATATGACACAAATCCCACTGGGGCCATAGTTGAGCAGCAATTGTTTATCAACGTTTTAAATTACAAACTTTTGTTTATATCGGCAGTTTATATATATCTTGGTTTTCTGGCCCAGCTTAAGTTATTTCTGATTTGTTTTTAAATTGTTGGAGCACACACACACATTTATTGTTTGCCAGTTAAAGCCGAAACTCGTTTCGCTGCGTTGATAACTCGACAATTTTAACACGTTCAGGCTATGCACTGGGGCATACCTATATATATACATGTATGTGTGTATATGTGTATAAATATTTGATATTTGTATTAAATGTGTAACTAACCGAACCGCTAAGAGCAATTGTTTCCAAGACGCGAATGCTAGCCGTACGCTGGTCGGCGGCAATCTAAAGATTTTCGGAGCTTGCCGCTTGTATCTTATAGGCGCAACGCAGCACGCACACCAAAGCGCGTGCACACACACACACACACACACACACAGGCAGAGAGAGAGAACTGAACTCGGAGCAACAGCAGGCGGCTTAAACGAGTCGAATTCGTGCTTCGGCGTCGGCGCAGTTCAAGCTCTTCAAGAACCTTTATCAAACGCACACACACACGCACACACACACGCACACTTATATAACGTGTAAAGTGTGCGACACACACACACACACACACACACACACACACACACAGGCACAGCAGGCGGTTCGCTTGCAGTATCTAATGGCAGGGCTTACGCGGCGTATGCGCAATTTCTGAATTTCAATGCACACACACACGCACAAGCACACACGCATACACACACATGCATACACACACACACTCGGAACACAGCTTGAGGATGCCATGTTGTTGACGCCAACGTGTTTTTGACCTTAATTGCGCTGATTAACCCGTTTTTCGCAGCACTTCAGGCCCAAGCCGCACACGAAACCACCCAAAAAAAAAAGCCACCCACCCAACCAGCCGCGCCCCTCCCACCCAAATGGCGACAGATAAGACAACACGCACAGCGTGCAGCATTTGGGCACCCTGCAGCTGTAATTGCCAAATGCGATGTGTCTTAAAGCCACCCTCTCCCCCCCCCCTCCCTCTTCCAACGGCTGCAACTTATGCCCACACTTGACGAATAGAGAAAACTACTTTTGCTTTATCCAACATTTGTATCACTGTCGAAAATTTCATAAGCTTTAAATTTTCAAATACTAATTCAATTTCCGGCTTAAGTCAATGCTCTTTTTGAAACGAAACTAAACCTGAACTATAAATGTGCTTTTTAAGATGAACCTAACCTTAAACCGCACGGAAAACAGTCGAACCTTAACCCCAAAACGAACCAGAATTTAAAGAAAAACCCGTTTGGTTCATGCAAATATTATCAAACTGGCTGTTATCGATGTTTATGCGATATATCGATTGTTTGCTAAGTATGTTAAGTAATTTAGATCTGGGCACACTGCAAAATCTGATCGAATTAGAATAAGGACTGTGAAACATTAAAAGGCACAAGCAGCTGATATATATGGAATATGAATGTATAAAAAAATAACATTAAAAATCAGTTTAGCTATAATAAATATAATTAACAAATCAGAATAAAAGCCATTTTTCACATTGAAATAATAAAATTGAAATAAATAAAAAAAAAAAACATTTCGAACCTTGGTTCTGTCTATTTTAAACATAAATATGTAATATAACAAAATTATAAATAAATTCTGTTAAATTGTCCAATTCTATTACAAACAGAAAGAACCAAGATGCGAAACCTGGATAAAGAGATGTAGGAAATCTGGTGCACGAACCGAACCTGAAGACAGGGTTTTGGTTCGAGCCGTAAAGCAAACGTACACACTTTATTGAGTTTGCAGCCCTGGTTTGAACCGCCTTTGCAGCCTTGGTTCAAACAATATTAAACAATCGAATTGAGAACGAAGTTTTTCTCTGAGTGTAGCTGTGCCAAGTGTTGCGAAACTTTAATGTCACACTGGTCGGAAATGAAGGGTTTAGGACGCAACGCACGTTGCCCCAAATGCAAGTGGGTGGCATTCGGATGTGATTGCGCTCAGAATTTGAGTGCTAAGTTTGTGGGTGGTTGGGGGAGACGGACGACGGGTGACGGGGAACGGGGAACGGAACTGTCTCTCTGAGCAGCACTTAAGCTTTGCGGTAATTGCCACAAATACTAATTGCAGCATTTGCGCATATCTGCTGTTACAGGGAATTAAGCAAATGGTTGCCACGGAAATGGCCACAAAGTCTCACCCAGCCCCTCGCCAAGCCCTAATCAGCAAACAAATAATTAGAACTGCACAAATTGTCATATGAGTAATGAACAAGGCGAATGGAGACAGGTAGAGATTGACAATAGTCTAAAGAAACATATTTCAAAGCAAAATTTAATTATGCTCCAAATTGGCAAGCAACATTCCCATAATTCTTCCTTCTAGCATTAAGATTTAATGTTTCCTGCCCCTCCTTAAAGCTAACGTAGATTTTTACAGATCTTTTAACAAAAATTAAATATCCATCTTTTGAAAAAGCAGTTTTACCCAACTCGAGACACAGAATCAATAAAAAACACAAATTTGTAAAGTTTAAGATCTCAAGAATTTCAAAAAATTAACGGCCCTTTGAGTTGGCGCCATCTAGTTTATATTTTATGTTCACCACCTACTGCCTGTATTTGGGCGCGGCCAACTTCACTTCTGCAGACAGAAACCACGCATGCCGCTAACAGTAACAGCCATCCAGCTTAACATTAAGCTGTTAACATAGCCAAGACACACTCCAAAGTTGCTCCTGTTAATTGCATGCATCAATTTATTCTGCCTGGCAGCATTCTGCGTTTGGCGCCAAAATCAAATTGAAATATTTTATGCTATTTACAATTGCAAGCTTTTCATTTAACGAAAATAAATAATTAGAATGCTTTTAGTTTTCAGTTCAGGGTTTGTGATTTATATTTAAAATGTACGTCTTTGTTCAATAATATTGCCTTTTTTTGATGCAAAAATAAGCTTTGCTTAAAATAATCATTATATAATAAGTGGATGTTTTTTTTGTTTTGCTTTGTGGGGTCAAGGGGTCAAGGGTGGGCGAAGGGCTTTGTTTTACATAAAAATAAACAAATAATAAGCGTAAATTGTACCTAACACAAGTTTTCAACTTTCAACTCTTATGCTTAAAATAATTAAGATATTAATGTGTGTGTGTGTGTGTGTATGTGTGTGTGTGTGTTTTAGCCATTTTCTGTTTTGAGCTTACGAACTAGTATGGGCGCGGGGTAACTACGGAGGGGGGCCGCTTAAATTTGTATGACATTTTAGATTATAATGCACATTTTTGTTACGTTAAAAAATTCAAACTAAAGCTCTAATAAATTGAACTAAATCGAAAATTTTTACATAAAACAATTAAACAAAAATTGATCAAAGAAAAACGAACTTAAAGAAAAAGTCAAGGGAAAAAAATGTTACAGTTATAAATGTACATGTGAATGTGATTATGTGTGTTTGTGTGTGTGTGTGTGTATTAGAATTAAGTCTTAGGGTCTACTAAAATTAACAAACGAAAATCAACAAAATCAACTTAAAATTTTCTCATTAAAATGAAATAAATACCCAGCTTTTGTTATTCTTTTTTTTATGTACAAATAAAGGTTATTTTTTCCTGTTGTTTTGGCGTTGCCACCCTCCCGCGAAAAAAAAAATAGGGAATTTACAGCAAGAGCCGCGAACGGGACTTCTTGCTGCGGCCCGTGCCGGCGCCGCCGCAACCGTCGCCATTCCAGGACTTGGACTTGGCACGAAAATGCCGATAGGCCTCATTGTAGGCCGGCTCCAGCATGGGCCGATACGCGTTCGGCTGGCAGAGCTCCGGCTGCGTCTCATAGAACTCTTTGTAACCATTGTGCAGCAAATAGATTTCCGGATAATGAAGCGCCGGATACGCATGCGTATTGCGCTCCCGATCCAGATTGCGCAAAAAACGTGACATTTTTGGGCCACGCTCCGAGGAGAATTCACAATGAAAGATGATTATGTGACGCTTGTTGCCGGCAACGGCATTTTGCTGCTGCTGCAGCTCAGTCTGTGCGGCGCTGAGGAACTCCTCGAGGATCTGCTCGTGGGTATAGAGATTCTTGGCGCCGCGTATATGCCCGCCCTCAAACTCGTACGGATAGCGGCAGTCAATGATGCGATAGCTGGCCACCTGCTCCTCAAAGTCGCCGTTAAGCAGCTGGGCCACCGTTTCGCTGGAGATCGACTTGAGATCCCGATGGCGTCCCTCCATCAGGGGCAGGGCATACGCCTTGCTGAAATCGCCAATCAGTTGCGGCTCATTGCGATTCTCGGAGCGCGCCAAGGCGGACATGATCTCCGCATCATTGAGCGACATGCATTTGCGCAACGGAGGCGCATGGGCGTGGCTGCTTGCGGGCGGATTGATGGCGACCGGATTGGGGCAGTTCTCCTTCTCGACGCAACGGTGACGCTTGCTCTGGATGGGCGAGCAGCTGGCCGATGCGGGCGGTTCGGGACGCTTGAAGCAATCCCTGGCAGTCTCTGGCGTCTTTGGTTGCTGTTGTTGTTGGTGGTGTTGTTGTTGTTGTTGTTGTTGTTGTTGTTGTAATGATAGCTGATTGCTATTCGTCTCTGTCATGCTGAGGCAGCGGCGCACCGAGGGACGTCGCATCATGATGCTCAACGCTTCCGGGGATTTGGGCGTCACCTTGATCTGACCGCTAATCAGCGAGTTAAGCCCGCTGGGCATGGCCAGCGCTGGCGGCGCCTGCTGTATGCCGGCAAAGGATTCCATTTCGAAGAGCTCCATGTACTCGTCGTCCATGAAGGACTCCATGGAGCCCGTCGAGGAGAGGCTGTTGAATATGCGAAAGCTGCGCGCAGGCGTCACAGCGCTGCTCGCTGCCGCCGCTGCTGCTGGCGCCAACTGCTGCTGCTGCTGGTGCTGCTGCAGTTGCGGCAGCTTGGGCTGGCGCACAATTTGAAAGCGTTGCGGCGAACACTCCGGCGAGAGTAGACCGAGCAACGCCGGGCTAACCGAACGCTGCGACGGCAACGGCAAAGCGTGCACGTCATCGTCATAGAACGAAAGCTCCTCCTCCGCATCCATGGCCATCAGCATGTTGTTGTTGTTGTTGTTGTTGTTGTTGTTGCTGTTGTTGTTGGTCAGCGCACGGCGAACGCGGCGACTGGAGCTGTTTTTGTTCAAATTGCTGCAAGACACAAGGAGAGAGCGAGAGAGAGAGAGGGGGAGGATTAGTCAACTGTATTTCGTATGCTTCCTGCTGCTGGTTGTGCTGCCTAAACTGTGGCGGGTCATTAAACCCGCAGCTAAAAATATGCGACGGCGGCGTCGGTGGTGTAAAACAACAACAGCAACAAAAACAAGAAGAAGCAGCAGCAGCAGCAGCGTCGAGGGGTTGCTGCGCTCAATTCCCGTTCTCCTTCTTCTTCTTGTTGTTGTTGTTGTCCCTCTTTCGCTTGTAATTTTCGTAAATAAGGAAATTTGAATTAGAACTTAACATGTGCCCCGCCTACCCGTTGAACCTTTTTGCGGTACTCTAAGCGGAATTTCCCTTTTGCACGCGTTCCGCTCGAGCTGCGGTCAAATGCATCTGCACTTTTGCTGACGACTTTTTGGGTCACGCAAGGCAGAACCGCAAGCGGCAAAGCAGCAGCAGAAGACGAAGACGCAACAACGGGCAAGAACATTGCAAACGGCTGTAACCAACTGCGCCATGCTCTGTGTGCTCAGTGCTGCAAAACTATAAGCACTAGACAGTGACTGTCAAACTGTAAGACAATTTATGGGGGCGTGCCCAAAGTGCCTTCGAACTAACACATTAGTTACGACACCTGCTGAATTTGTTGACCAGCTTGAAAAATACAATTTATTGGCCCCAAAAATATACTTTTTTCACTTTAAGAACAGAGTACAACATTTGGCTTTGGAGCTGTGCGAGCTTCGCGGAAGCCGGTTTAATGAATGAAAAAGCAACAATAACAACAGCTGAGCGCCACAGCCAAAAAAAAAAAGAAAAGAAGAAGAAGAACGTGTCGTTCGCTCGTGTGGAGCGTGCAAAAAATAATGAGAAAAAAAACATATTACTCTTACTTTTGTTCAACTGTAAAGCAAGCAGCGCAGTCGACAGCGCAGCAGCGAACGCTTTGCGGCGGCTTCTTCTGCTCAGTGCCGTTGTTCACAAATTTGCTTTAGTATGTGTGTGTGTGAGCGCTTTGTTGTTGCTGTTGCTGTTGTTGTTGTCGTTGCTGTTCAAGTTCAAGCACGACGCTTTTGTTGTTGAAATTTACTTGCACTTTTTATATTATTACATTAGCTATGCTATCTTCCTATGCGTTTTACTTTTATCTAGTTTTTTTTTTTGCCTTGCTTTTCAATAATTACCTGATATTGCAATCCATCGTGCAGTTGTTCTCTTCGGCAATTGTTTCCCACAGCATTTTGTATTATTGAATTTATTTATTTGCAGAAGATGTTAAATGAGCTATTTTGATTTGTAGATGATTTCCAACGCGTGTATATTGAGCGTTTTTTTGTTTTTTGTTGTTGCTTCTTCTGAAAATTGCTAAAACACAATTTTCGCACGTTTCTTTTGCTGGCACATTTACAGTTAGTTTGTTAGTTCGTTTCGTTTTCGTTAGTTGCGGCTTTGCACTTTGTAGTCCTTCGTTGAGTGTTTTGTTGTTGTTGTTGCATTTGTGAACCGTATTTGTTAAAAACTAATATTGCATTTGTTGTTGCATATTTTTTTGTTTTCTTTTTTGGAGTTTTGCATTATTATTGTGTCCGTTTAAACATTGTTGCATTTGTTTGTACTTTGTGAGTTCTTTGTGTGCTGCGTTTTGTATTAATATTTTATATCCCAATCGTTTTAACACAAACACACACACAAATTTACTGCACTACCGTACGAGTGGCAGAGAGAGGGAGAGCAGCTCGAGGCGCAGATGTTGACACGACGACGAACAGAAAACAAATGTAGTTCTCGAGCCGAGCGCAGCTGGTTTTAAAGAGCGGCGGCCGTGTATGCAACCCCCGCTGCCGGCAAGCCGCAGTCGACGTCGCTGCTCTTTTGTGCGAGCAGCAGCACGTATAACGGCAGGAGCAGGAGCAGCAATTGAAACAGCAGTGAGAGCAGGAGCGAGACTAGAAGGTTAGAAGCGGTAGCAGCACCAACATACATATGTATAGAACAGTTTTCCATTTGCCATATCCCAAATTCCAATAACAAATATCAAAGGGCGAACTAGGATAGAAGTAGTCGGAAAATCTGTGCAGTTGGAGCGAGCCACGATCACTGGCCAGTGCCTGTGCAACAGGTAGCGCTCAACAATTTCCCCTACCCGATGCGCGGCCGGAGCACAATTGAAGGCGAAAATTTTGGCGCGCGAGCTTTTATAGCGCGAAGCGCGTCGTCGCCGACGCTGAGCGCCAATAGCCGATAGCCGAGTGGGCCCTGATTGGGGGCCGAGCGACAGTTCGTGTGGAGGCCGAAGCGAGAAAAAACACATGTGATTTACGTTGCAATCGAATGGCTGGAACCAGAGCCTGGAGCCAGCGGCCGCCACAGCCTGCGTCTTCGGGCAACGTGCAAATCTTTAAGCAGAATTTCAGAAGCAGACGCAGACGACGACGACGACGGCGACGACGACGACGATGGCATCGACTGAGCGGCATCGATTGTGTCGTTCGCAGGTAATAATGTGAGATCCACGCATTCCGTGACGCCTGCACGCCCAAGTCGTCCCCCTTGGACCCCAAAGCGTACATCAGCAGGTAGTCGTTGTGCCAGGTCCCAGTCATATGATCGACACAGTGCTCTTTGGGGGAGGTGGTGCGGGGCGTGACTCTTTTGTGTTTTGCAGACGTAGACGCCAATGTCGTTAAATGAGCAGAGGTCCACGCATGTGTGTGTGTGTGTGTGCGCGCGCGTTTGAGTGTGTGTGGGCAGTTGCGGCAAAGTTAAAGCAAAAATCGAGTTACATATGCGCGCATGGATGTGTGTGTGTGTGCAGGCCCTGCGGGAGTCGCGTCGTGCATGGCAGGGGCAACGGTGGGGGCACCCATGGGTATAGTGCTGCTTGTAAAGACTTGGCGAATTCCTACGCGGCAGGCAAATCCACAGCAGAGCGCAATGTACAACAAGCATAAGAAACAACTAAATTGGACGGCGACCATGCGGCGACATCATTTATAAAAACTATCATGCGAATCATATGGGCAAGGCAAATGATTTGAGCTGGTGTTGCCAGCCGCTGCAAAATGCGCTCAAAGCTAAATGAGCTACGGTTTCATTCTCTTGAATTCCTTTTGTGCTGCTGCAGGAAGAGGATCATCTTTTTGAAAGAATAAACAACAAACGAAAAGGACGCAGAAATCATAAAGTGGTTTTGAACAAGTTAAAAAACATGCGGCACGGAAAAAAAAAGCTCAAACTCATTCATAGTGCGACACAGTGGGCTGAACATGAGTGTTTGTTGCGCAAATATGATAGCTTCCTTCGTAGCCATAACTTACATAAGTAGTTGCTGATGAACAAATTTAAAATGTGCATGTAATTGTGTACCCGTTTTAACTAAATGTCATATGTGATCGCTTATAATTGATTTGCTCGCTTTCAATAAGCATTTAAATGCAATAGATCACACACCACGGTGCGGCGACACAGATGAAGACAGAACGGAAAAAGGGCAAACAGAAATCAAAAATGTATGCAAAAAACTCACTCACACACTCAAATGCAGCGAGTGAATTTGATTGCGAGCATCATCGAATAGGCGGCACACACTAATACAAGCAGCGAACACTATGAAATTGCAGAAACAACGTGAATGGGAATGGAGCACAACAATAGCAGCGGGAGCAGCAACAGCAAATAAACTCCCAAAAAAAAAAAAGGAGAAGTGGAATGAACAACGTGAAGAACTAAATTGTAAATCGAAATTCCAAGAAGTGAGGTCTGAGATTTGGTCGGTTTTTATTTTTTAAGCGCCTGATGTCGACGGCGACATATAAAAAAAAAAGAAAAAAATGTGCAAAAAAGCGTTTGAGATACTTTTACGCGCGCGCGCGAAAGCCAAACCAGTGCGAGGGGCGTGGCGGACAGAAATTGTGTGTACGCGAGTGTATGTGCGTGTGTGTGTGTGTGTGTGTGTGCGGCATTTAGGGCTTGTGCATACAAAAGGTATCGCATGGAGTCCACGGGGAGGCAAAGACGTGCAATTAGTGTGCAATAGGTAAGTTATGAGCATTTAATCCATTTGCATATTATCTGCATGTACGTGTGTATGCGTGCACATAAATTACAGCGTAAGCCCTCTTGTACAGTGAAAGCTCTCTTGAGCGAACACCCACGCTTAAAGAAAGAACACAAAATTCCCAAATTTTAAGCATAGTTATGTATTTACTCTTATTTGTCTTCATGTTTATATACTTTTCTATCCACTGTTGCCCCTTTATTTAAAAGTCCAATTGTAGTGCATGTATGTAATTCTTTCGCTTAACATGAGCTTTTACTGTCTGTATGTATGTGTGCGTGCAAGCAGTCTGCAATGGCAGCTAAAAGCTATGACAAATTTGAATTGGAGATTGACAAAGGTGTTGACAGACGGTTGGCATTGAAGGTATTTGAACTTCGTACGGAATTTGGGCCGGATCGAGACCATGTGATCGAGCGCCCCGAATTGTAGGGGAAATGGAAGAATGTATGTACATAAGAAACAGCGTAACATAGACAAATGCTGATCAGAATGTATGCCCACACACACATACATACATACATACATGCACAAACAGTTAGAAAAGGATAGGTGCGCGGGGAATGACCCTCGGTCCCGTTTCAGTTCCTATACACAATCCTGTTCCTTGCGGGCCTCTGCCTGCTATACTACAGGGTACCTACATATGTTCAATCAGCTGATCGTGCGTAGCCCGAAGGACATGCACACAGCAGAGCAGAGAATTAGTCCTGCTGTTCTGTGGTATGTGTGTGACACGAGCAGGAGGAGAGGCACGGGGAACGAGCGCAACGCGCGCGCAAAATTCCTTAACACGAGCCCAACAAAAACAACAACAAGAAATCTTTGTGTGCGTGTGTGTGTGTGTGTGCAAGCCGAAGCAGGGGGGGCGCTGAGATTTCTTGCACTCGCCGATGTGCATTGGTCAGGCTGAGCGAAGAAGTAGGTGAAGAGCGCTCGAGCGCTCGGAAGAAGTGTACAAAGAGGAAACGCGTTTTGATTTTAGCGCCAAAATATGCCGTCGCTGTATGTGTGTGTCAGTGTGAGCGCAGTGTGAGAGTGTGTGCAAGATTCGTCTACTTGACAGTGTTGCCACAATATTAAAAGGCGCAAACGGCCAAATGGTTGGAATAAATTAAATTATTTTTACGATCGGTTAGGTGGTCCGAATTTTGATGTCAATAATACACTTCTGACCGGCTGACGATATGAGCTATATGCATAGTATACTCATTTGCGACTTTTATGATGTTGATATGTTAGGATCATAGTAATAGTTGAGTTAAATTCCATAGCTAGTTCGCTAGAAATAGCCACATGTCAGCTAAGATGGCAACTCTGCTGCAGAGAGTAGCGCGATCTATACATATGTATGTGGGTATGTATGTTGTGTATGTATGATTATGTGCATTTGTATGTTAATACATGTGCATTTTGTGTGGCCGTCTGCGAGCCTGTTTATCTTTGAGCTCTGCTGCAGTCGCTGCTGTGATGTGATTTCTTGCAGTCTTTGTCGCTCCTCTGATTATGTGCACTGTTGTTGTTGTTGTTGCCGTTCGACGTTTGTCTTTTTGCCTCCGCCGCGTTTTGTTGTTGCTATTTTATGTTTCCTTCGCCGCCTTGCAACGTATTCTTTAGCTCCTTGTTCGCCTTGTCTACAAGCTGATTGTGAGAAATATTTTTCGTTACTTGACTTTATGCTGTGCGTGCTCCTTCTGTCTGTCCTCTGTTCTCTGTCCTCTTATCCTCCGTCCATTGGCGGCCACCCGATCTCACAGTCGCAATTCACGCTTTCCCCTTCCCCCTCCTCCCGCCACCGGCAGCAGCAGCTCCATTTCCTCGCACACACTAATTGATTCTCTGCATAAATTTTATTTAAAGCTTTAATAAATGTCAAAATAAGCAATTCATTTCGATGTTAGAGAACGCATCCATTCACAAAACACTCACACTCACACGTCACATTCACAAAACAGTCACCACATTCACATTCACATTCACATTAACCAAATGAAGCTTTCTCTGTGGCAATCAATTGCCGGGTTCAGAGTTTAAATGTGCCGCTGCCGAAGATGCGCAGCCCAAGCCAAGCAATTCTATATGTAATGTATGTATGTGTGTATGTATGTAAACATTGAAAATACATACATGCATACATATATATGTATGTACATATATTCTGCATGCAGAAATTGTGACGTTAC